CTGGGTGGATCCAGACATTAATGTCGGGATCCGTCCCGGCTGCGGTATACTGAGCTTTGGGTGACGGGAGGACGCCAGTTTGTGTCCTCCCGTTACCCTTAGGAGAATCGTGGGGAAAAGCCCTGACCCCATAGTTCTCCTTTTAACTGTAATTGTTATCCTGTCTGTGGTGTGTAAATCTCAGGACTGGATAGACCGTTACAAATCCTTTTTTGCAGGTACAACCGCTCCCATATATGTATCTCATTTGTGTATTTAGCTAATTGCCTGGGGGCCCGACTTTAACATGCAAAGCAGCTAATCCAGAATTGTTTGATGTGAAGGCAGAACCCTAAAAACTCATTGCTTACCATGAGTTATCGCACAATGCCTGTAATCACTTCACTTAACCTAAGAAACTTGATGTTTTATGTCTGTTTGTCTAGACCTCTGAAACTAATTTTTTTTTGTACAGCCTTTTGGTATTTGATAGAGCTGTACTGCTTCTTTTTCTATTATATGCCTGAGTCTTTATGTGATGAGGTTAGTGTGTTCTGTCTGTGAATATTCACACATACTGTATATAATGGATTAGAATTCTCCAAGGATGTCCTTTTTTATGAGCTATTCTTTGTAGGAACGAATTGTGCAGAATTTATTCAAAGGACCTATTTTCAAACGTTATTAATTTCTATCTACACTGTTTTAATGGAGCTGAGCTTTCTATAGCTCCTAGAATAGGAGGTAGAGTTGTTGGGCAGGATGTACTAAGACCTTTCACAGTGGCTCATTCAGGATAGTTTAATCCAAGCAACACATAAATAAAAGATGATTTATAAAAATTAGGGTAATGTTTTAAGTGTTGCCTTCACTGGCCAGATGCTAGCTTTAATTCTCTAGCCTTTGTTGAATACAGTGACAGCTAGATTCTGAAAGGTTGTAGATAGATATTTGCTGCCTTTTTTTTTCTAAAGCAGCTCCATGTTGCCATTTAACTATGATTTATAAAGGAGAACTATGGGGGTCAGGGCTTTTCCCCATAGTTCTCCTAAGTGTCATGGGAGGACACAAACTAGCGTCCTCCCGTGATCCAAAGCTACAGCTCGCGGTATACTGACACGCCACAGCCGGGACGGATCCCGACATTACTGTAGAGATCCACCCAGCAGCTCCAATATAGAGGCATAGCCAGCTGTGCCCGCCCCTCCCCCATCCGTTCCGCCAGTCAGCGTTGGAGGATCGGACGGGGGGGGGGAATCCCTGCAGGGAGACATGAGTGACAGTCACGGCTCTCTGCTGGGATAGAGAAGTGAGCGAGCGGCGCTATGTGTTCGCTCACTTCCCGATCTACTGAGCCGACGTGTGACAGTTTCATTGTCGCAGGTTGGCTAGAACTATGAGGCTGAGTGATTTTCACTCGCCTCATAATTCTCCTTTTTAAACTAAGAAATACTATGAGAACTTTTCCACTTTTAGTAGAAAGTAAAAACTCCAACTTAGGAGTCTGTGCCTTCATCTTTAGTACCCTCGGAGGCCTCTTCTATTCTTCCTATTCATATGTGTTCTCTGGTGGCCCCTTAGCTCTTGGCAGTCGTTGGCTTTTTTTGCAAAACTAATACAGCACCAGCCAAGAATCCTACTGGTTTCACAGGGTTTAGAAGTAAAATATTATTGTGTCAGCTCTCACTAACACTCCAGCTTGAGCTGATTTGCAGCATCCTTACTGCTGTCTTAAACTGGCCATACACCTATAGATTATCTGCAGATTTTCTGTGGTCAGATGGAAAAAGTGCGACAGATTCTTCCATCTAAGCTAAACTGTGTGAATGGAGGAATCTCCCACTGGCCAAGCTTCAGTATCTTGCTAGTTGGCCCAGCTGGCTCTCAAAATACTTGAACAATCTGCTTGGATGCAGGCAATGTTCAGGTATTTTGGATGCTGGATCTGATTGGTTTTAAAGGAATAAAGTATGTCTTGAGTGGGCTTACTTAACTTCCTCATCGGCAGTAGAACGTCTCATTGGCAGGCGATGAGACATCTGCCTGTTGCTGTAATTGTGCAAACTTGCTGAACTCTCCTGTTTACATCCTAGTGACCTTAATAAGGTTTAGTCCTCCTTTTAGGAACCTCTACTTGAAAACATTTTTGACAAGGCCACAGTAAAGCTGTCATTTAAGAAACTTGTGAGTTGTTATTGCAAGTCTCCTTTTGAACATGCTAGCTACTAGGCTATATCAGCTCAGCTAAGCTGGCCCCCTTCAATCGGCACAAACAAAAACTCCAGTCTGTTTCTTTAGTGCTACGTTTGTGCTGTTTTGTGCCGCAAAAATTAACATTTGTGCTGCTTTTATTTTAAAGATAATAGCAATTGTTTGTTTCAAGATGATGACATCGCCAGGCCCCCTACAACAGCAAAAAGACATGAAACTTGCTGGTTGGTTAGTGCTACGTTTGTGCTGGTTTGTGCCATTTAAATCTCCATTCTATCTCCTTTCGTTGTCAAGTTATTAACCATTTATTAAAGGTCACCCAGCCCCCCACCACAGCCAAAAGACACAAAACCGGACTGGTTGGTTAGTGCTACGTTTGTGCTGTAAAAATTAACATTTGTGCTGCTTTTATTTGTAAGATAATAGCAATTGTTTTTTTTTTAAGATGACCTTTGGTGACCTTTAATAAATGGTTAATAACTCGAAAACGAAAGGAGGTAGAATTAGAGATTTAAATAGCACAAACGTAGCACTAACCAACCAGCCCGGTTTCGTGTCTTTTGGCTGTGGTGGGGGCTGGGTGACCTTTGGTGACCTTTTAATAACTTGACAACGAAAGGAGATAGAATGGAGATTTAAATGGCACAAACATAGCACTAACCATCCAGCAAGTTTCATGTCTTTTTGCTGTTGTAGGGGGGCTGGTGATGTCATCATCTTGAAACAAACAATTGCTATTATCTTTAAAATAAAAGCAGCACAAATGTTAGTTTTTGCGGCACAAACGTAGCACTAAAACAGTAGTTTGTTTGTGCCGATGGAAGGGGGGCCAGCTTCGCTGAGCTGGCTATATCTGGCTTTAATACTTATGGGTTACAATCCTGGGATAGGTATGAAGCAAATGGAAGTTAGAATTCTTTATCTGTATGCTTCTTCTGTGTTGCTAACTCTACAAAATATAAACTTAAAGTGACATTAAACCCTCAGATTTTTTAACATAAATCAATACTGTAATGTGTGCCTTACTGTAATCCATGAATGTTTCCCTTCTCTTTGCTGCTCTTCCTTTTAAGCATGAGAAGACATCCTCATGTCTTCTCATGCTTGGGGAGAACTTCCCTTTTCAGCTCAGGGCCTCTTCCTGTAGTGCTGGCTCAGGTTACAGGACTATAGAAACGTATACACAGACACCGTGTATCCATTACTAAGAAAAGGCAGTCTGCTGCAAAACAGAAGTTCTGCAGAGCATGAGAACAGATACAGATTTAAAAGGAAGAGCAGCAAAGAGAAGGGAAACAACTATGGATTACAGTAAGGCACACATTACAGTATTTTATGTTAAAAAAAATCTGAGTGTTTAATGTCACTTTAAACATCAGCCTTACAACCATTTTAACATTTTCAGTAGGAAAGGGCAGCAGTGGCAGCTCACGTTTTTCTCTCAGAAAATGCATAATTTAAAGTGGTTTTAGACTTGGACAACCTTATCTTTCAAGCAGTGCATGTCATTTGTGAATGATATAGCACTCTCTATGCTGTGTGATGTAACTTTAAACAGAGGTAGAGGTACTCAAATGCAATTTTTTAAGATTTAACTCCAGAGGTTAGTGTCACTTTTATTAATAAACCATTTCTAAGAACATTCTGGCCATGTTAAATTATATGTTTTCACTGCAATGTGTTTGTTAATCAATACAGTATATCACTTTTTGATAATCAGTAACTTGGTAGCACTAGCTACCTACATTTTCCAGTGTTGTGGACTGTTTTTCAGCACTAGACATAAATACTCGAGTTTAAGGCCATATTCATACTGTATGTAGTGACCTGCATTTTTCTGCACAAGTATACAGGCCACCACTAGGGCACATAGAGAACAATTGTTCTCTTTGTGCTGTGGTCACACCACAATGCTGGTGTGATGTGTGGTGCGGAAAACTGGACGCATGCTGCTTTTTTGCACAGCGCATTGGATGGCGGTCACTGCAGCGAAGGTCACAGCTAGGACACATAAAAAAATAATAAATTGTATTCTGTGTGCCCTGTTCATATAACAAGGCATGTGTAATGTGCAGTGCGGAAAAACAGTTATGCTGCATTTTTCCGCAACCCACCGCAGCACCTCTGCACTGCTGTGTGGAGACCTGCATGGAATGCACACTTTGTAAATAAAGTTAAAAACAAAAGTAAACAGTGTGATGTGCTGAAGCAGGCATCACACTGTCCCCAGATGGTCCTCACACAGACACTGGTTTTTGCGCTAAAACTCATTGCTGTGCGGGCTAGTGTGAACAATCCCTCAGAGCGCAGCCCTGGTGTCTGTGTAAGGTGCAAATGGGGGTGGTGTGTAGCTGTGTTTTTAGCGCATAACACGCTTTTCTTTCTTTCATTTTACACCTTTTTGAGGGTGAACACTCCATTCAGGCCTCCACAGCAGTGTGACATGCGTGTCACAAAGTGTGGTGCATTGCGGAAAGGTACCGTATAAGTGTATTTTTCCACACTCTCATTACACCAGCATTGTGGTATGAACAGGGCACACAGAAAACAATGGTTTTCTACTCACTTTGTGAAGATGTTCACCAGGACAAATAGAAGGGGGAATCACTGCAGTGGGGACACATAGCAGCAATAAAACCTGACTGAGGATGTAACAGTTCTCCACTATCTAAATATAAAGAAATGTTTTGCCTAGCGATGCTTTGAAATTCAAATCCTCAAGCCTGTAGGAAATGGTAACCTTTGATGCTGTGAAGGCTTCTGATATTGAGTTGTATTTGCACATGCACTAAACTGTTTTTCTCTAACAGGTTCCCAAATGGCCCTCAGGCGCGTCTAGCTTTGTGTGTTAAGTGCAGCAACCTTATTTCCCTCATCTGCCTGCGAATAGGGAGCGAAATGGTCCAGCAGCATCTTGGTGATGCTCTCAGAATCTTCTTCAGCAACTTCACTGTAATGCAGGAAATCCATCAGCAGGTATGATGCGGAACAATACTGGAAAAAACCCCCCAAACAAATGTAAAGTGTTTAATGGAAGTCATTCCGGTCTTGCATACTAGGAATTTTCCATCATCAGAATTGAACAATCCTGCAGTGCAACCACAGTGTCATTGCAGAAACTATCCTACAGTAATCACCTCCACTGATCTAAAGTGTATTTCCATTTTTGCAGTCAAATTAATGTTCCCATCCACACAGCATACCTGGGGAAAAAAATGGTTTCTAAAATATATATCTAACCTTCCTGATGTCTCTGTGTAGCCAACCTTCGGACAGACTGCAAGTTTCTCTGTACAATTTCAAAATGACAGTAAACTGTGGCTGTCCCCATAGACTGAGGACACGCTGAGCTTCCTCTCATTAATATACAATGCTTTTAGAACGTTAACCCTTTCTTAGGACAGACACTGTTCAAATCTCATATACAAACAAACATTAGCCACCCCAGCCCCCTTGCATTCCAGAGGAAAATTTCAGAGGGTTATTAACAAAAGGGTGAAGAATTTGGGGAAGGCAGGACAAGGGAACAATCTAGGACAACATAGCTGAACTAGAAAGTGAGCTGAATTGGAGAAGTTTCCAAATCAGCTATGTTGTCCTAGATTGTTCACTTCTCCTGCCTTCCCCAAACTCTTCACCCTTTAGGGAATAGACCCGGCAGTTTACAGAAAAAAAATTATTTCAGAAAAGAAAAACATGTAATAAATATAAAGTTGGTGTTATCCCAGTTTGGCAGGAAAAGTTGAAATACACTTTAAATGAACTAATAGTGAATGTTGAAAATCGTTGGCCAGTATTTTGACATATTGTTTTGCCCTGCAAGTGTGAGATCTTAATCTATTTGAAATTAGCTAATTCCTAGGAAAATCAATTTCTCCCCTAAATAATGCTAAAAGCTTCTGTTTATACAGGTGCATTGTATGTAAAGCCTAACAATGAACATCTCTTATTTGCTGTTTTTAGTATGGTGAATATAGTACGTTCTCAAGTTTCCAGGCAGAAAGAACAGTAAAAGTGCAGTCAGGGCACTGGACATACCTCTAGGGGCAAAATTGAAGTGAAATAGTTTGATAAATATATGTAATTATAGCAGATTACATTGTATTGTGTGTAAATGTCATGTTTTCACTTTTGAATTATCCGCTGGCTCCGCCCCCCACTGTGACGCCCGAAAACGAAACTGAAAGCCGAATGCTGGCATCGGCCGGGCGCACACAGCAGAGGACACCGCGGGCTCGCAGGGACAAGGTAAGTGACACTTTTGTGCTATCCCGAGATGTGGCTCGGGGTTACCGTTCTTGGTACTGAAAATTAATCCCGAGCCACACTCGGGAATACCGCCAGGTAGGTTAAAAACATTTTATGTCTGTTTTAATAAGTGCAAAAAATACCTGCGAATCCTGTCGGAAAGCTCCTAACACATCTTGTGTTATCTTAAGGAGCCCAATTAGCCCTCCTAGTTCTTATCTTCATACTGCAGAATGATTAGTCTCTATGAGGACAATAGGACAGGCATAATGTGTCAGTAGCTTGAAAACAGAAAATTGGGCATGGCTGATACTACTCGGTCTACAACAGGACTGTTAACCAGCCAACGAGGGATTACAGGCTGAGAGTGTTTCCGGGACATCAACTGCTATATTTCTGTACATGTAGGCTTTTTACATGAGTAAAACATGGGGAAATGTGTATGTATTGCAGAGATGTACTATTTTTTTATTTTTTTCTTCCTGACATACATTTTTAAACTTGCTAGTGTAGATGAATATGAACTGATCAGTGTACAGTAAACTCTCTGTTATCCGGTATTCAGCTAACTGACACTCCCATCTAACCGGCAAAAAAATAAAATAATCCCATGCACTCTGTTCTGCCGATCTGCCACCTTTTTAGGAGAGGTAGAGTGGGCTCTGGAGCATGGCCACGTACAGCAACAGGCTGAAAAGTGCTGGATTATCCTGGGAATGAGTGTCTGACTGGTCTCTGAAAAGTGCTGGAAACGGGTGTCTGATCGATCATTTGTGAAAGTGCTTCTATCCTGTGAGCAAGTGCCACTTAGTGATCACTCCCAGTACTGCAATGCATTGATAATAGTTTAGAGTACAATATACTGTTGTGGTATAATATGGGGTATAGCATTAGTTAAACCCATTTTTAATAGTAGCTCTCAACCAACCAGAAACTTCATTTATCCAGAATCTACAAATCCCTGTGGATGCTGGATAACGGGGAGTTTAGTGTAGTATTATTATTTTTTTTTAAATAAAAAAAAAATACAGTACATTATATAAGATAGCTTAGCCAGTTATTATACTCCCCTTGCATATCTCTAGCATTACATGGTAGTCGGGCCTTCCTGGTAGGCACTAGTGCTACTAAGTGTCAAGGTAGTCACCTGCAGTGTCCAATGACCATACTTTAAGTATGCACATGCGCATGTTAACTGGACCTACCGGGAAGCCTACCATTGTAGCCGGCACCCAACTCTGGGGTGGAAATATGTTATTGCTCTGTACATTGGAATTCTATGCATATACCATGCTCTGCTTTGTAACCCTGCTACATTTTATATTTCAATAAAAATGTATTTGAAAAAAAAAAAGATAGCTTGGCAAGTGATGATGCTAGCTCCATCCTCAACTTTTCAAGATTTTGATAACAGGCTCATATTTTACTCATCGCTCCTATAGAAATATTGAAAAGATTGTCATTCCGCCATTCATTTGCCAAGTGCAGACAGAACAGACTATGCCTAAAAAATGCTTTGCTGTGAAACCTGGCTCCAAGCAACTTCTAGAAGAGCAATTATTATGTAGGAATCTTATCTGAAGCATGTCTTTTTAATCAACAGAACGTTAAGGGTGCCCCTGACAGAAGTGTATATGCAGCTGATGACTGTTTCCCCATCAGCTTTCAATGAATAGAGGTTGAGAAATGTGCTTTTGTCCAACACATAAATACTGTCTCGGAGACCAATTGTTTCTAAGCACTGTGGTGTGTGCAGTGAAAGCAAGTTGCAAAGAATCAAGGTCACTTGACTGAATGCTTGTCTGTGTTTGTGTTTCCATGTTTGAATTCTAGGGCCTGTCTGCAGAGATAACAAATGGTCTGGAGCCATGCGTAAAAAGTGTCCACTGCTCAGATGGAAAAATCTTACCTGTGGACCTGACTTTAACTGAGGAACTGGAAAAAGTATACAGTGCAGAGATGGCATATGCCACATTCATCCCATTTACCTGTCTCATAGGTAAGTGGCAGCCATTGAGGCTGCAAACTAACATGTAGTCCCAAAGTAACCCGGAAAAGTACATGGCATATGCCACATTCGTCTCATTTTCCTGTATCATATGTAAGTGGCAGCCATTGAGACTGCAGACTAACCTGTTCTTCCAAGGTAACCAGAGGACAAGCCTTCCTACCTTCTTTTTTCAACATACCACAGGTACACCATTTCTTTTATAACATACTGGACATGTATTGTAGGGCTAATATAGCATTTACCCTTCTTGATGATACAGGAAAGAGAGTGAGTTCATATGTGTGCCTTAGTAAACTCACTTGTAAAACTTCCTGGTCACTTCCACAGGCAGCCAAATGTGCACCCCCTTCTCCTAGCCATGTATCCTAGGCTTGGTTACCCATCCTGTGGGTCTGGGACTGACATGGAGAGTATCAGCTGAGAGTAGGGAGGGAGAACCGGTAACATACGTTCACTGATCTCCTTTCCCGTGCATGAACCCAGAAGCGTCTGATGGTGTCACGTCTGAACGGTCATTCCGCGGCCTCTTGCTCGGCTTCATTGAAATACAAAGGTGTGTAGGTGTAGGGATGCACCGATACTAGTATGTGTGCCGATGCCGAGTATTTGAGTGAGTACTCGCACTCGCCCAAAGGCTCTGATGCCTAGCCCGATACTTGAGCTTCCGGTATCGGGAAGCCGGGCAGCGAGTCATTACACACTACCCAGCAAAACAAATGGCAAACGCACTCATCAATTCGTTACCAGCTTTACAGCAAGGTGCACATGGAAGGGCTTCAAACAAAAACTGTCTAAGCGCTAAGGTTAAAAGCAGAGGTTTAGATACACGTCTTCTGCAGAAAATGTGAAAGCCGCACCGCCACGTCAAGGCACCTCCATATAGTGCGCTCCTAACTCTAAACTGAGAGTCTCCATCTTGGAGCACATGGGTGCAGGTTTGTCAGGAGGAAGCCCAACCTTACAGGCACACTGCCCGGCTTCCTGATTGGCCGGGAAGCAGGCTCCCTTATCACTTGTGACAGAGCATGGAGCCGGCTTCCCGGCCAATCAGGAAGCCGGGCGCCGTGTCGTACAGCGCCCAGATTCCTGATTGGCCAGAAAGCAGGCTCCATGCTTTCTCGTCACCTGGTGATGAGAAGCATGGAGTTGGCTTCCCTGCTAATCGGGAAGCCAGGTGGCGAGTCTTTACACGCCGCCCAGTTTCCCGGCTAATCAGGTGGGGAGTCAATACACGCCGCCTCGTTTCATTAATGGGACTTTCGGTATCGGCGAGTACTGAAAAAAAAAAATATCGGTACTCGATACAGTAAAACCGGTATTGGGGCATCCCTAATTAGGGGTCACCTTAAAGAGATGCCACTAAAGTGCTATTACATAAGGGGCTTGAAAGCAATAAAGATATGTAAATGAAAAATACAAATCTAAAACAATAAAGTTAAATCAAATAAATGCAAAAATACTTTTTTTTTTTTTTTTAAAGGCTGCCATTTACATGCACATATTTACACGCGTGTTAGGTGCGCATATGTACGAAAACAATAATTAGTTATCACTGCACACGCCTGAGTGAGAGCAGTAATTCTAGGATCATTATTCTCAGTTGGCTCTAAATTGAGAACCTGTAAAGACTTTTAAAGTGTTGCCTACAGATCATTTTGGGTGCTGTAATTTTTTTCCCATTTCTGGGGCGCACACAAATTTAAATATTATAAATTGATATATGCATGTGTTTTTGTCTTCAAGGTGATGTTATTAACCATTTGGTACCAAACCATGATTTAATATGGAAGCTTACAATGGTTTATCAAGAAACTGTTATTCCAAAAGGGATTGACAATCGGTCACCGCCCTGCGAGTACACCAGTAGAACAAGCTTCTCTCTTCACAGGTTTGAGGAAGACGGTCAGTCTGGCACTTTTGGAAGCGTCATGGTTGGAAACCGCATTCAGGTACCAAAAGACAGCCAGCCATCACAGTCAAAGTCAACCTGTCGCAGCCCTGTAGCCGAGAACTTCCAGTGTGACGATAACACCCTTAAACAGGACCTTCAGAAAAGTGCCCATGGGCTATGTGGAAACTGGCTGGCATACTGGCAGTATGAGATTGGTGTGAGCCAGCAGGAACCTCATTTTTACTTTCACCAGATCAAGCTACAGAGTTTTATAGGCCACTCTGGAGCAATCAAATCTGTTAAACCTCTTAGCGGAGAAGATTTCTTTCTAAGCGGCAGTAAGGACAAAACGGTGCGGTTGTGGCCTTTGTACAACTATGGCGATGGCACCCGGGAGATTGAACCACGTCTTACTTACACGGAGCACAAGAAGACGGTGTTCTATGTAGGCCAGCTGGAATCTGTGCAACAAATTGTGAGCTGTGATGGAGGAGTATGCATATGGGACCAATATTCAGGTATGAACAAACGCATTGTTTGTAATCTGGTGATATGGTGCAAATAATCCTATCGGCATTAATAACCTGCTCACCACTAGCTACATCTGTATAGAAATAGTAGATATGGCTATTACTCTATACATGTATTTCTCCATTTTTGTTAAATGATGAACCATTTTATAATGGTAATCAGTAAACCAAATTGAAACCGCGCTCCCAACTGTTAAATCTATATAGAACCTAAAAAAAAAGCTGATCGCTCTTACAATCGTTCACTACCACAAGTGCTCAGTGCTGAAAAAGTGTCTACAAAACACCTTCCTTACATATGCCATTAATAAAACGCCATTAAATAAATGTTTGGCTGTGCAATTAGATGAGTAAAAGTGATAAATATCTATGACAATAATTAGCAAAGATAGAATACAATTAACAATATCACTGGATATCAAAATAGATAATTAAAGGAGAACTATGAGGTGAGTGATTTTCACTCATCCTCGTAGTTCTAGCCGGCCTGTGACAATGAAACTGTCACAGGTCGGCTCAGTAGATCGGGAAGTGAGTGAACACATACTGGCGTTCGCTCACCTCTCGATCCTGTCACTGCACTCATGTCTCCATGTCTCACTCATGTCTCCCCGCAGGGATTCCCCCCTCCCCAGTCCGATCCTCCAGCGCTGACTGGCGGAACAGACTGGGGATTGGGCGGGTACAGCTGGCTCTGACTCTAGATAGGCAGAGCCAGTTGTCACTCACGCAGGTGGGTGGCTACAGACATAATTGTCGGGATCCGCTTCAGCTGCGGCGTCTCAGTATAACTTGCTGCCTGCCTTCCTGATCAGCTGTAAAGCTGGCTCCATGCTGGAAATCCAATCAGGAAGCTGGGCGGCGAGTCATTTCCACCCTCCGGCTTCCTGATTGGCCACGAAGCTAGCTCCTTGGTGACGAGGGAGCATGGAGCAAAGTTCTAGTATTGGGAGCTTTTGGAGATTTGAGGTTGTGGATTTGGGGTTCTTGGGGTTTTCATGAGCTGTAAGCCATAATCATCACGGCTTGAATTATCTTGCTTGGCATGTAATGAGTCTATTTCATATATTAGTTTCACCTTTTAAGTTGCATTAGTGATATAAATGAACTTTGCACGATATTCTAATCGAGTTTCACCTGTGTTTGTGTGTATACATACATACATACATACATACATACATACATACATACATACATACATACATACATACATACAATTTGATCAAAGTCTAGTCTTTAGTCTTCTAAATTAATTCATCTTCTGCCATCTAGTGGCTGATTTTGATATAGCTGCTTCTTCATAAGCTGCACCATTATGTTACTTTTTAAAATAGCTTTTGTTACTGGATTAGTCCAGTGTTTTTTTTCTTCGCCATTCTCGGTTGCTTTTAGATGTGTATTTTGGGTCAGTAACCTCTTTGAGTACCCAAGACCTGCAAATAAGAGCTTTCTGACCCATGGCAGTTTGTTTTCAATTCAAAATTCCTTGATGGTCTAGAGATTTAATTGTGCCCTGCACAGATTTAAGACTCCCTGTGCCAGTTGCAGCAAAGCAGCAAAAACAAAAAAAACCTGCTAAACAAGGAAGAGGTTTTGCTTATGTTTGATAAGCAAAACCTCTTCCTTGTTTAGCAGGTTTTTTTTGTTTTTGGGGGTTTTTTTTCTTCAATATTGCTGATGTGACTTGCCAAAAAGCTCCAAAGGAACAGAACAATTGCGGTTCGTAGGTATGCATTTTACCAAATTCCAGTCCTGTTTTTTTTTAGTTTTTTCAATGTGTTTCTTTCAGTTTTTTTGTGTTTTCTTTCAACAGTGGAGTCTTCATTTTAAGCCCATTGTCGCTCATAAATAAACCAGTGGTATGGTCAGACCTTGACACTTCACCTTGGAGTTCACCTTTTATCTCTTTGCAAGTTTTCCTTTAATGTTTGTCTACCATTTGCCTTATCTTTCTGTAAATTCTAGGTCAAATTTCCCCTTGCAGCTGTGTCCAGGGAGGTTAACTACACTCCCACTGACCTTAAACTTCTTAATATTTACTACTGTGATCGCAGTAACATCAAGCTGCTTGGGGATGGTCTTAAAGCCTTTACCATCGACGTGCTGGTCTATAATTTTTCTAATCTCTTTAGACAACTCTCTTCTCTGTTTTTTTTTTTTTTTTTCTTGATGT